AGAGCTGCGAGATGTAGATATGTGATTATCATAAAAGTGCATCTATCTCTCTCTCCCCGTCGGTATTGCCCGTAAGTCACTTCGTGCTAGGTACAATAGTGCTACAAACAGCCAAAATCTCTGGCGAAATCAGGGCCTACCCCCTACCCAGGGTCACTCTTGGCAGAATGAAAACCAGAAGCCCAAAATACCACAGTGGTCCCTGGTTCTTAGATTCTCTGCTCAATAACCTCGTCCTCGTCCACGTCCTCGTCCACGTCCACGGCCGCGACCTCGTCCACGGCCGCGTCCTCTCCCCCTGCCCCGGAAAGCTCCTCTACTAGACACAGCAGGAGATCCACCAATACCACTCTCAGACTCTGACGAAGAGGAGATCTCGCTCTCGGATTCAGACTCGCCGAGCCTCACTATTGTGGGCCCAGTCGAGGATCTACCGCGCCGTGCGGGCAGCGGAAGAGGGCTTGCATCTGGGATGCCCGGATCAGAAGAAGAAGGAGAAGAGACCGATGCTTTATGGGCAGAAAACTCAGATGCTCCATCATTCTCGTCTGACCTCTGCCAAGGTCTGCCGTCTACGCCTGAGGGTGGAGAAATAGGATCTGAACTTGGCTCTCTTTGCCTGCCGCCAGGAGGTGGGGGCGTGTGATCCGAGCTCGAGTCTCTCGCTCTCGTCGTCGCGGCAGGAGGCGGGGGCGTAACATCTACACTCGACACCCTTGATGGTTCCCGAACGGGCTCTTCAGCCGACGTGACTTCCGGCTGCTGTTGGCTACGTCCACTAGACTGCCTCTCTGACAATGCTTGGGCCGGGGCCGAGGGCTCCTGAGTACTCTCATCCCGCGACTGGCGAGAAGTAATCTTAAACTTCCCACCACGAGCTGCAACGCGAGCTGCCATGGACATCATTCTTGTTGCACCTGCAGGGGGCGGAGGAGGAGACCTATCGACAGGCTCCGTCTCTGCAGGAGCAACCTTGTTTTTAGGTGGTCGGCCGCGACGCCTCTTAGGTGGCTGCACAGTAGCCTCCGTTGGTTGTAGTTCCTCGATCGACGTAACCGGTGCTTTCTGCGAAGATCCTTCTCCAGCTAACTCCCTATCGAGTTCAGCCTCGAGCTCAGCCTCCGTAACGTCATTGACTGCGTCACGATTGCCATCTTCAGAACGATCTTGCCTTCGAGGGTTGAAGTGACTGGCTCCATCGATAGTCACAACCCCGCTGAGACGCGATCGCCGAGACGCGCGTTCTTCGCGCTTCTTCGCTGCAAGGCCTGCGGGGGACGGTTTCGGCACAACCGCGGCTCTTGTAGCCGATGCGGGTGTCGAGCTTGCGCTCTTCGGTGGCCTTCCTCGCCTCTTAGGCATCTTGGGCGTTTCGATTATGGTAGCGGCGGCGGTAGCGTTCGCCACGTCAGGTCCTTTCTGAATGAGTGCGCGTAAAGCGTCAGAAGCAAGATCCAGGGGATCGACGCTGCTGTCGCTGGGTTGCGGCTCGTCATTTTGGACGAGCGGCTTGTCCTTGAATACTGGTACGATGTCGTCCGGGTCATCAACCACTGGCTCTTCCGGCTCAGCATATGATGCCTTGGGCCTGGCATGCCGAAGCGAAGGGACGTTTGCCGGATATTGAGGAGCCGGATAACCGCTCTTCGGTCGCTGTGCATCTCCCGCCTGCGCTGCCTCACTCTCCAATTGAGCTGGAGCCTCATTTTCAGGAGCAACGCTAGCATCGTTTGACTCGGGATTTTCGTCCGCTCCGGTTGTGCCAGCGACGCCGGAAGCAGGAAGTATACCGCTAAACAGGGCAGGGTCCATATTCGAAACATCGTCCGCATCGTCCTTCTTCTGTTTTTTCTTGTGGTGGCTCTTAGGTGCATTGAAGTCTGGATCGAATTCGTTCTCGTGCCTTGCTTTCCGCTTCTGGGCGCGCAGTGTCTTTGTAATGTACTCGGCCTCTTGGTCAAAGACCATGGCCTCTGCAGAAGGCATTTGGAAAGGATCGAAGAGAATTTGATCTGGTCCATCTTGCTCATAGTAGCCCATACCGAACATGCGCTGACCATCCAAGGGATCTGGATAGGCTGACTGGTCCCATCCGCCAGTCGGGCCCACATCAGCGAGCGGCATAGACTGGTCATGGTCCACCTGGGACATGTCTTGATCACCGCCAAAAGTGCTCTGGTCTTGCATTTGGATGTCATGCCCCCCGAGAACCTGGCTCTGATCGCCATATCCGTTCGCCACGTTTTCCGCAGACCCGACGGCACCGTTGGCGCCGTTCGCGATGTCCTCCGCAGTAATGGCGGCTGTTTCTTGAGCTTTGGCGGTGTCGGCTTTCTCTCTCAACTCCTTCATGCGCTTGCTATTGGTGCTGCGGCCCTCTTCGCCCGCAGTCTTGAGCCAGTTTAGGTTGTGAACTCGGAAATCGACGAGAACTTCGACACTTCGATCATCGGCAATGGCTCGGGTGTCATGGCCGAGTAGGGTGTTCTTCGGTGTATAAGGATTGCTGCTCTCCGCGCGGCGGCATGCACCGCAATTGCAAATACCAAGACACTTCGGGCAGAGCCAGTTCTCGTTCTCTTGTACCGTCTGTGGCATCATGTCAAACGCACGATAGAGCACGCCATAGCAGTAGCCTTCTTTGCATTCTGGGTTGGAGCAGACCTGTACCTTGTATGCATAATCCTTGTGGCAGCATACGTGGCAGCGGCGAAGCTCTCCCTTCTTCTTCTTACGCTTATACTTCCTCTTCTTCGGCTTGCCGTTGTCATCAAGCTCTGGCTCGGGTTCGGATTCGGTGACTTGTTTCGCCTCCTCGAGTTTTGAGATATCCTTGAAAGGTCGCCTGCGCAGGCCCTCCTGGCATATTTCGGCGAGCGACTTCTTGCCTCGTCGGCTGCGAGCGATCTCAAGAGGCTGTGGTGAAAGCTCCAAATCGACAAAACCGTCATTCTTGATGACCATGGATCGCCAGAGCTCGTAATTATCTGTCAGCTCCGACCACTGCCATTGTTCACACCATCCAAGGTTGGAGATGCACACACAGGACCGTCCCATGGCATAACACTCCATGCAGACATCGTATGCATCCTCGTCACCATTGACCAGAGTTCGCACACAGTGCTTGCAGGTCAGAAATCGGTTGAAAATATTCGATCTGCAGTACGAGCAAGTGACGCAAGAATCGTACTCAATGTAGTCAATGTTCTTTTCTTTGGTTGCAAACATCTCATCAACGAGAACCTCGGTAAACAACGAGAAAAGGTGGCGGAAATCCTTAGCCAGCTGTTTGTAGCGTGTCGAAGAGCGGAACAGTTCAGAGCCCAGACCAAGAATTCCCATCTCGGCCTTCTCCTCTGCTTGTATCATCTGCTGGTAGTACTTCTTGAGCGTGTAGTAGATGATGGCCTTGTTCTTGTACTGCTCATCGCGACAAACGAGCCGGGCCTTTGGCAAGGCCTCATGAAGTGCCATGTCCAGAGTCTCGACCGTTGTCCGGTTCCACGCAACCTTCATAGTACGGGTACCTCTGTTCCAGACCTGATGGGGAGCCAGAGGTGGGACGAGGATGAAGTCGCCAGGTTTCTGCTCAACGATGTAGACAGGAAATGTGGCCTTCTTCCAAGCGTTGATTTGCGCAAAATGCTTCTCGATCTCAATGTCATGGCCGAGCATCGAAAGGAAGTACTCGCGGACAACTTCCCGATCTTTGGTTTCCGTCATGAACCAGATGGAGCTGCCTGGCTTCTCTCCGTTCTCGCTGCCCGAAGCCTCAACCATAATGTTCTGACCAAGACTGGCGCACATTTCACGATGAGCCGGAGTAAAGGTCCCTTCATGGCCGATATAACACATGAGGTTCTGCGCTCGCATTTCCTCGGGGAGGCTTGACATTAGGTCGCCCGCAGGAGCTAGCGTCGTTCTGTCGCCAATACCGCGGAAGACATCGTTGTTTTGTGGATTGATAGCTCCTTTCTGTGTAACGTTCTCGTTCATGTAGAAGAGGTTCGGAGGAATGACCTTCTGAAGGTGCTCGTGCCACTCAGGGGGACAGTCGATGTCCTTGAGGTAAAGACGTTGCCGCCTCTCATCTCGATAATTGCTCGGAGTCCATTGGTTGGTAAGTTGCTTCATGGCTCTCAAGTAGTGACCCATGGTCATCGGGATTTCGGTTTGACCGGTGATATCGCGAACGTTTTCCTCTGTCCAGTGTTAGCTATTGTTGCAGTCGCGAAAGAGACAGTCGCGTTTACGTTTCTTGTCGTAAGTTTTCTCCAGCCATTCCCTGCTGAAAAGCCATTGGGGGAGGACATCATTCCATTTCTCAATGACCAGGGGCTTCCCGCCCTGGATGACTTGCAGCTGCACTAATTTCTCGAACTCTTGAGGGCCAAGGCCCTGAATTTGTGCAGTCGATATGCGGAGAACCCATTCGAAGTTTGGGGTCTGGTCGACCAGTACGTGAAGGTCCAAGTCCGGGGGAATCGGATCGAACTTGGCTTGGGGATGCATCGAGGTCGGCATCTTGACTATATAAGACTACCGCACATGGTGGAGTACCGAAAAGAACGCGTCAGTCAAAGACTCGTCCGCGCTGCACTTTCTCGAGGAAAGGTCGGGATTGAGGGGCTACTCGTCGTGAGGGGTACGAGGCGTCGAAAAGCTGCGATGGGCACAACAGAAGGACTTGCGATCGCAGGAAGGCGCGCGCGCGTCGACGGAAAGTGGCGTAGCGTTACAAGGCAAGGCTGGCCAGGTCTAGTGTAAGACCATGCCAAATGAAAGCGAAAGCCAAAAGCGCAACCAATCATGCGCTAGGTGTATGCACGGTCCACTTTTCCTTCAAGACCTGACAGAAGCTCTCAGTTTTCGGTTCTCTCAGTGACAGCTGGAAAAGCTGGTGAAAGGACATTCAGAAGTTGGAAAGCCTTGGCTTTTCTAGTGTCGGTAAGTTCATAACGTCTCGTATATCACGTGGGAAAATACATAATAGGTCATGGATGAATTCTCAAGCTCTTGCCTCTATTGCTTTCTATTGCATTTCGCGTGTAAGCAACACGTCTCTTGCATCCTTACAAACAATGTCTAGAGAGAGCTTATCCCGCAACGTTACCACTAGCGGGTAATAGAGTCATTGTAATATTCTCATGTACATATAGGTGTGCTTTGATTTCACATTTGAGCTCTCGAGGGCCTCGGTCCCAGTATTGTAATGCTTCGAGACACAGGCTTGGCTTCCTGTCACTGAAACTGTCATGTTGGTGAGATTTGAACTAACATGATAGTAGTTGAAGATGAGGCAAATCAGCTTGTTGAGAGCCCCCTTACGGGTGGCACACAAGGCGTCTTTACGAACTACGGCAATATCCCTAGTACCGTCGTCTTCTCGACAGAGTCTACGACTGCACAAGAAGCTGACCATGGCCCTGACCCTTCGAAATTCGTCCCACCAGCAGGCAGCTCTGCACACATCAACTGAATGCCTCACAACGGCTGCCACCCAAGAAGTGCCTGAACCACCCGCTTCCCCCGAGGCCGTCTACTCTCCACCCAAGACGGGAATTATATCTTACTTACCTGTATCATGGGTTCCTTACGCCGAGCTCACCCGCATGGATAAGCCCGCAGGAACCTATTATCTCTTCTTCCCTTGCCTCTGGTCGACTCTCATGGCCGCGCCCATGGTAGCTCCCATAGCTTCTCCAGTTTCAGTCATCGGGACTTCTCTGCTCTTCTTCTCGGGAGCCTTCATCATGCGCAGTGCCGGCTGCAGCATTAATGATCTCTGGGACCGCAAACTCGATCCTCATGTTACCAGAACCAAATTCCGTCCCATCGCGCGGGGCGCCCTCACGCCTTTCCAAGGACTCGCCTTCACCGGTGCTCAGCTTCTGGCTGGCCTGGGAATCCTTCTTCAGTTTCCTACCTCCTGTCTTTTCTACGGCATTCCGAGTCTGCTCCTTGTCGCCTCATACCCCCTGGCTAAGCGGGTCACGTACTACCCGCAGGCCGTCCTGGGACTGACATTTTCCTGGGGCGCAATAATGGGCTTCCCCGCTCTCGGCATTGACCTACTTTCTAACAGCGCGGCGCTGACAGCTGCGGCCTGCCTGTACTCCTCGAACGTTGCCTGGACAATTCTGTACGACATGATATACGCCCACATGGACATCAAGGACGATGCCAAGGCCGGTATCAAGAGTATCGCTCTAAAGCACGACGCTGAGACAAAGCAAGTCTTGACGGGGCTGGCCGCGGTTCAGCTCAGTCTTCTCAGTGCTGCCGGATTTGCCGCGGGCGCTGGCCCGGCGTTCTTCATTGGCAGCGTCGGCGGAGCAGCAGTGACACTCGGCGTCATGATCAAGCGCGTCAACCTTAAGAGTGTCAAGGACTGCTGGTGGTGGTTCGTTAACGGTTGCTGGATTACCGGCGGCGTTGTCAGCCTAGGCCTCGCAGCTGATTATACTGTAAGATACATTCAGCACGGAGGGGAGGACGTCAAGACTCGGGAGGACGTCAAGACTCGGGAACAATAGGGGGCTCGTAGTAGGCAGTGAAGGGGGAAAAATGTAACAACATCATCTGTATTCATAGCACATAGAATCGAATTTCCTGATTCTTGCTCACGCCCAATAACCCCGTTTTTGTGATGTGTGAAATGTCGCATGTCAGGTGACTTTCATGATGTTTTATTTCATCGACCAAAGTCTACCCGCAGTATCAGGACCATAACCCATTGATGCCAATGCAAGCGTAAAACTCCGAGTGCCGAATTTTCTTCCACTGTCTTCCCATGCTTCGCGAAGCCTCCCATTTAAGATCTGGGCTTCTCCTTCTTCTCCTTCCACAGAGCAAGCAGACCGACACCAGAGACCTTGACGACCTTGAAGCGAACACCGGGAATATCACCCTTGGCCTTGCCCTTGCGACCGAAACCGGCCAGGAGGACCTCGTCGTTCTCGTCGACGAAGTTCAAGCAACCGTCGTTGGGGACTAGAAGAGACCCAAATGTCAGTAAATCGTATTCCTTCGCCACCATGGCATTCTTTCGAGCCATCATTCCACTCTCTCGGTCTCATTTCGAGATTCGTCGGGATAGTGTTCCAAAGGGGGAGGGGGCTGTATCGTACCGAAAGCAGTGACCTTCTTGCCGTTCTTGATCAACTGGACACGAACGCACTTTCGGATGGCGGAGTTGGGCTGCTTTGCCTCGACACCGACCTTCTCGAGGACGATGCCCTTGGCGTGGGACGAACCACCGAAGGGAGAGGACTTGAAAGCAGTGCCGAGAGCACGCTTCTTGTATCCGAGGTCGGCCCACTTCTGGTCCTTACGGTTCAGGCGCAACTTGCGCGCCGCATTGAGTCCACGAGGCATGTTGGCTGATATGAATCAGTGTCAGTTGAATGCTCCAAAGTGATGTATGTCTATTTGTCGAGGGGCGAGTCGGTAGGATTTCGTCGAGGTCGATGAGAGAAAAGAGAAAATTCGTCGGCGACGGGCTGCGAATGCCTGGGAGAAAGGGCGTAACGTACCGGTATGTTGGGGGGTATCGCGAGACTTGACTTGGTGGTGGTGACTGAGCCTCTCGTTCTGCGAAAGATTGACCTAGCTACGCTTCCAGGTTGACAAACCACCACCAAATTTTTCGGAAGGGCACGAAAACCCTACAAAGACTGGAGGGACTATTTCATGGTCACGTGGGAATGGCTCGTGCTTCACTACGTTAACGAGCGGAAGAAGGCCGGGTCAACTGGCTTCAGCGGGGCAATCTTCTCGCCCAATCATAGGCCTTGACTCTGAGTACCGTGTGCAAGGAGCCTTGACCCCACGTCCCTCTCTCCAAGCTCCGCCAGGGGTAAACCCCCAGGTCCACAACTTGATCTCAAGCGTCCAATCCAACCATATGCCGTCAGCGTCAGCTTCGAGAGACGCTGTCTCAGATGCCAAGTCAATCCTGAGGAATTTTCACGATGACACACAACATGTAGGTATGTCTCAATCGGCCAAGAGCAAAGGAAAGCAGCGCGACCCTCCGCCATCCCTCTTCCTTCATCCATCTCCCGCCGCCTCTCATGCCTCGCTACCAGGCATTCTTGCGCCGGGAGCGCCAGCGACATCGTCCGCAGGCATCTCACCTTTACCTCAGCCACCCTTGAACATGCAACGTAACGGATCTTTTCACACTGGCTCGGTGGTAACGCCGTCCGTTGCTCGTCCTACCCGGAATATCAAGACGGCCGAGAGCACCAGGAGCGCTGACAGAACCGATGCATTGTGGGCGGAGATGCAAGCGACGCTCGAGGAGGTGGAACTGTCTGCGTCAGGCGGAACTCACGTCTTTGGTCCGGACCACGACCGCAAACTGGAGGAGCTGAGAGCAGCTCAGATTGCTCTGGCACAGGCTTGGGCTCGAAGTGAGGCGGACGAGGCCATCGAGATGACGGGCCAGCGTTCAACTATGTCAGCAGCCGGGGAGGAAGTTCGCAATCTCACGGGCGCGGTTCTGGGAGAGACGGGTGTGGCACCAGACAGCAATGAGGGTCCACGCAGTACAGGAAGCAGTAGTGGCCGTCCGGGCAGTAGTGGGGGAACCGAACGCCTCGGGGCTAAGCTTGAGCAAGAGACCGAGGTAGACATTCTGCTGGCACGTAAGAGGCGGGAGGCCAACGACCGGTATTTCCAACGGGTAAATCAAGGCGTTCTTGACGTTGTTGCGAAACTTGAGGACGTTGCTGTTGCGATGCGAGCTGTGGAACAAGAAACTAAGGACATCTGGGGCGAGAACGACAGCATGGCAGGCAGTGCGAAGGGATAGAGGTCTCGGATAGTCATTGGATCCTTTGCGACGATGTACGGGCATCGGGAGTCTACATTAATTACACCAACACTGTTTCTTTGACGGCTCGGGGGTGGGATGACATTTGGGGTTAATGAACCGGCGTTGAGGATCACATGCACACGCATGAAGAGGATGAGAATACAAAGCGAGATGGCCTAGACGAGCCGGGGCCTGCACCTCCTCTGCGGCCACTCCAGTAAACAACAGGTTATCCTGTGAAGAATAGTACGACTTGCTTAGCAACAGCAGCAGTGATAGGATCAATATTTTCTGTAGGGTGTTGTTTGAGATTGTTTTGCCAAACCGTTCTAGTGGTCGGCTGCCAAGATGGACCCTGTGCCTTCCGTCACCAGTTGCATCTGAGGCGGGATGTGCCTTGTATGCAAATGAGTCGGGCGATGGCATAAAATCAACCATTTTGACGTCGTTCACCCGTCCAGCTACGTCAATGTCACCATATTCGCTCGTTTGTAGCCGGCTTAGCAGCGAAACATGCAGGAGCACAGGACAAAACGGCTGATAGCGCTGTCGAAGACTACCTGGGTGGTTGCACCATCGGGTTCAACACAATACTTGGTTGATGAACACAATGAAACGGCGCAACCGCCGATGACGAGTGCTCGTTTGGGGGAGCTACACCAGACCGGGACGAAATGTGGCCTAATCCAGTGGGTCGTTCCAGACAAGGAGGGCTTAAATCTGATGGGACGAAAGAACGGCACGCAGAGGGAGCAGCAATGTGTAACCTTCTGTTGTGCAGTCCCAATTGTGAAGCTGCCCCAAGACTGTTATTAACGCGAAGAGGCAACTGTTGTGCGTAAACGCTGCCGGAAATACCTGGTCGGCACATGTTCATGAAGTTTGCTAGCGCCACTGCACTACCTACCCGTACCCTGATAGGTGCTGGCTGGAACCCAGGCCGGCCACTTATTGGACCAAATGCTGGGACGACCATGCTTTCGGGGGGCATCACCAGTCCGAAGTATAGAGCTGCGCTGTGACTCGGTGCCTTAAGCGACAAGCCTATGACAACAGGCGACCAAATAGGATACCTATCAAGGCCCCATGGTCTGTCGCTGTCTGACCTGAACTTGCTCCTTGCACCCCTCGCCATCCATCCATATTCTCCAGCAACGAACGATTAATACCCGCAACCCCCCCACACACGACCCCTAGGTGCTTTCGTCTACATCCAGCTTTCTTTCTCTAACGCATCCCGCCCTTTCGCTCATTCTCAACATTTGATCGATACTCAATCACTCCGACGCACCGCCGCCGATAACCGCTGCCTTCCTGTCGCACCCAAAGTTTGCGACAGCAACCCATATTTCAAACTCGCTCTACCTGACAGCCTCCGAATCTCTCAAGCCGTCAACATGAGACCCTCCGCATTTCTTGTCGCCGCTCTTGCCGTCGTCCCCGGCGTACTGGCCGTCGACCAGATGAAGTCTGTCATCATCTGGGCCCAGTCCGACTCAATCAGCGATGAGATCATTGCAAAGGCCAAGCAGTCCATCATCGACGCTGGCGGTCAAATCACTCACACCTATTCTCTGATCAGGTGAGCAAGTATTGCCATGCGACACAGGCGCCGCGTCACAGAAGCTAACGTAATGTCAGGGGTTTCGCTTGCGTCACACCTGTCAAGGTCCTCGAGTCCGTCCAGTCTTTCAGCGAAGGACTCGTAATCGATGAGGACCACACCGTCACCGGCTCGTAAACAGCGCATCGTTAATCGAAACGGATACCCCCAAATCTATCCGCAAAACCTGCGACATCATTCTCGTAAATCATACGGCGAAGAAAGATACAAAAATGTGTGAAAAGGACTCTGGCTGGATTAGGTCACGAGGATAATGATATCCGCCTCCCTTTCCCCGGCAGTCGCGACAGGGACAAGCAAGGAGGCACTTATTTCACCCCATTTCCGTTATAGAGAGTTTACCGCTACGGAGTCAGGAGTTTGCAACAGTTCAACAGTGTCTTCGGGCATCTTCATATGTAGAGCCGCGAAAAGGCTTAGGCCGCGTGTGGTCATGCTCTTCTTAACGCTGCATGCCAAACAATAACCACTATTCGTTATTCAAGCATATATTTACTTCGTGACTGGAGCTTACCTGGGCGATTGGACCTGCGATTGCCCCTCTTCGATTACGAAGACTTGCTGTCTGACATTGGATGTCATGAGGTTGTATCCGTATGATCGAGGGGTCGCAAACGTAAAGGTTAGTGCTGAATGTGGCTGTTAACCACAAGGGCGTGACATCGGTGACATATCCGGATCTGGTAGGAGGGCATTCGGGTTTCCCGTGTACGTAGTTGGACCAATCCAAAGGCGAAATGCCTGATAAGGAGTGGAGAGTGGCATCGTGAGCGGAAAGCAGGTACGCAGATCAAAAGCGGATTTTGAGTCTGCTCGCCTCCGTTTCTTCTCCACCGCTAGCCCGGGGGTTTCGATTGATTTTATTGACGAAAACAGAAGCACTAGACAGCGCCGACATCAAAAACACAGGATGAGGCGTTGTCTTGGGTAATGCTCTCTGCAGGCACTTACATAAGTGTAGTACAACAGGACGACCTCAGGTACGATAATGCCATGTGGTCACAACAGGACGAAAGCCGGTGTTTCCATGGCCTGGGTCATGCTTAATGCACTGGGCAGAACAGCCCATGGTCATCGCACGGACGAGTCAGAGCGTACTGCGGGAGGAAGGCGCAGTATTTCTGCTATCTCAACCGGCAAGAGAGTCACCGCCTACAAAGTAAAGGCCAAGAGACTCTCTATCTTTCAGCTTCGGTGGGATCATTGAACAGGCACGAAGCCATCGACATGGGGTTCAGAGAACCCTGATGGAACATTGGAATTGCAACCTTGAACAACTAAGTTTGACCAAGTGTTGCTGTCAAGATTGTCTTAAATTCAGCCCAGATAGCTGTTCTATCTGGTAGGAGAATAGTGGCTATGTTCAGTCTTTGATTGGTATTTTTTTCGTTTCGTTTTGATCGATTGACAAATGTACGCTTTCGATTGATGCTGGGTTAACGGCTTTGCTTTTCCTTTTTTGTCCTTTCTGCCGCCGAGAAAAGCCCTTGAGGGTGAATAAGTCATTACACAAAAGTCAAAACACTTCGACTGTCAAGTCTTTGCAGCTCATATCTGGGTCCTTTATGGTACCTACACTAGGCATATTCGCCGTCGGGATTGAATGGGGCTGCCAGTGACTCGAGAGTCGATCGGCCGGCAAGAGAGAGCGGGAGGGAAACGAAGTGCCGTCAGTGGCCGGCCGCTTGAAGGGCTAGGACCAGGTTGGAGATGAGCAGGCGCCCCACTGTCTCACCCTAGATTTCCGATCCGCTTCGCGTCACTTCGAGTTTCGGGCTTGGGGTGCCAGAGGTGCCCCTAAATGGCATCCAGCATGTACATACTAAGGTAGGCAGGCATGTTGCCAGAGGACTGCAACGCACCATACGTCCGTGGCGGGTGGTAGTTGCACGCCACTCTCACTAAGACAAAGCTGCTTAGCTGCCTGCTGTCAATGGATAATTGGGAGAAAGCCGGATGAAGCTACTATGTACGTCGTGCAAGGTCAAGTGTGGATACAACGGAGAAAATGCAGCAACGTGAACAATGTGCCTGTCTTGGGCAAGTAGGTACCCTCGAGCCTTGACCTACGGAAATGGTTTTCTGCTAGACTCTGACCTGAACGTTAATAACATCCCTCCTCCCCTTCCTTGATCCTACACTAGGTACACTATATCTGCCGCGATGCGAACTTGCCAGGCCACTGGAACCACAATTCCACTGCCGCTTTGACTTTCAACATCCACGAACCACGATTCTACGCCGAACATAGTGGAACCGGGGGAGAGACCATTTCATTTTCCCACGTGCTGCTCCCCATACAACCACCAAACCTACCCCCCTTAGACATCTTAGCCTAGGAACCACGACTGACACACGATTCACGACGAACACGACCGCGAAGGACGACGAACGTCAAGATCCAGTAGACGGGGGCATCATGCCGTACTCGGAGAGCGCGCAGGCCGCGCTGGTCCAATGGGTAAGTCAAGCTTCCCTTATAGACGGCGCCCCTAATTTCCCACTCTCCATTGTGCTCGATCCAGGCTCCAAACTGCGTAGCTGCTAGAATACTTCTGCTGACCCAATGCATCACCACAGGCCAATACATTTCCCCTCGACAAGAAAGCCGACTCAATATCAGATTTCCTCGATGGCCACCTTCTGTCACAGGTCCTCCAGCGCCTGGATCCCACCTTCGACTCCAACCCTACTGAGGGCGAGCTTTACGACGTCTACAGGGGCATCATCAAGTTAGTCTACCGCGAGTGCCCTGGCCTCGTCGGGCAGGCCAAGCTCGCCGACATTCGTCCTAGCGCGAGAGAAGCACGCCCCGAAGCCATCAGCAAGGTACGCTTACATCTGGGCCAGACCCAGCGTCGTCTACGTGAAAGGACAGTTAGGCTAACAAAGTGCGCCTCCCAGCTTCTCGCCGTGTTGTTCGCCGTTGCGATGTTAGGCAGCAGTAACGAACGATACGTTATGCGCATCACCGAAGATATTAAAGACATGACGATTCTCATGCAGCTACAAAGGGTCACTCAGGACATGAAGGCGGTGATGGAGGAGGCTGAGGCCCAGGACCCGGAGGAGGCCTCGGAGGTTGGTCACGAAAGCCAAAATGCAGACCTTGCCATGGAAGCCGACAACATCCGCCTCCGGTCCGACCTGGACAAAAAGGGAAAACTTCTTGCAGACATGGAAACGCGCTTGGGCCACCTTCAGGAAAGCTACGACGACTTGAAGGAGGAGGTGGTACGGAAGGGCAGGGAGCTAGAGGCGTTTCACAGTGCTCAGGACGGTGCCGGCAAGGAGGTTATCAGGTCGCTGGAGCTCAAACTGCGTGAGCAGGACGAGCTCATTGCCAACCAAGAGGCACAGGCCGAGGACGATCGCATTACCAAGGAGCGACTGATGAGCGAGGTCTCGGCGCTCAAGGTCAAGGCCCAGAAGCTTGAGACCCTTGACGACGAGGTGAAGGAGTTGCGTTTCAAGAACGAGGAGCTTTCTCGCAAGGCCAACATGGTGGAGCGGTACAAGCAGAAGCTCGAGGCGCAGTCCACATTATCCAAGGAGATGGACAATCTGCTGTATGAGAAGGAGCAGATGCAGCGCGACCTCATCGAATACGAGAAGGTTCTCAAGAGGAACCAGGCGTTGGAGCAAACCAATGAACAGTATGCCTCCAAGCTCCGAGATTATGAGCTGCAGTACGTTGAGCTGGATGCTCAGAGGAGAGCTCTTCACGATGACGCTCAGCAGTTGAGAGATCGTCTGGCCACTCTCGACGCTCAGCGACTCTCTGATGAACGATGGATTGCCGAGTTGCAGGAGCAGATCAACTCCGGACCACAAGTCGCTTTGTCACCCGATGCGGGGACCGCAGGCTTCAGTCTTGAGGAGGAGCTTGAGGGTGCTGGCAACAGTGTCGCTCCTAACCCGGCACTCGAAATCTCGCGTCTAAAGGCCGAGAACAACCTGCTTCGTAGCGGTATGGGCTCCGCTTCAGAGAATGCCCGGCTTCGACAAGAGCTTGAGGAGGAGCGTAGACAACGAGAGCGTATCCAGGGAACTTACAACGACACCTTCGAGAAGCACCAGCTTGCGGAGGCCCAAATCAGCGCTCTGATTGAAAGCAGCGGCGAAAAGTTAGTTGATATTGTTGATGAAGCTATACGATTAGGTCTGGGTGGAATGCTAACGCAAGACTACTGTTACAGCCAAGTGCTTGCCAACCTGAGAATCCAGATCGCCCAGAAGACGCAGGAACTTGAAAGCGAAAAGAGACGACTCAAGGAGGTTCGGGCGCAACTGGCAGACAAGGATCGCGAGCTCCTTAGCGCGAGAACTGACCTCTCCGCCGTTGCGAAGGACAGCGTCGAAGCCCTCGAGGAACTCAAGTCCACTGACCAGCTCATCTCAGCATCCATCCGAGAGGAACTTGAGGCGACGCGCCAGCAGCTCAAGAACCTTACAACTGACCTTGAAGAGCAGCGCACCTCATTCATTAACGCCCTGCTTGAGAAGGACAAGTTGCGTAAGGACCTGGACGAGGCCAGGGAGGCACGGCAAGACGGCGCCGAGCCTGTTGAGGTCGTCCAGAAGCTCCAGGACAAGGTTGAGAAGCTCCGCGCCAGACTCAAGGAGCGCACATCGGTGAGTAAACCCCGCAAGTCTTTTACTTCAGAAAAGCCCGAAGTCCTCGCAGCCAAGATGCCCGTTGTTCCTATGGGGGCCATCTTGTACGACAGTAACCCGAGGTTTCGGACAAAAGTCCCCTCATATCATTCCCACGTCGTCGACCTCCCTGTCCAGTCGGGGGGTTCAAAAGAACCTCCAAAAAGATGGTGGAATAGGGTGTTTAGGCAGCCGGGAGTGCCTTCTTCATCTTCTAGGCATTGATCCAATGTTTTAGTCGACCTCTTAATGATGCGTACGATATTCTGCGGATATGACTGACGGTTATTTCTTTCTAGCAATTGGAGAAGTCGGAGCAAGACAAATACGACTTACAGCGGAAGCTCAAGGCTGCCGAGGGCGGAGAGGCTGCCGCAGCGCAAAAGGTACGTTCCCAACCTGTTGAGACATCAATGATACATGAGACTTTTATTCATTTTCCTTTGGTTATCGTCGTGGTGTCGTGAGCTTGGGAGGTACAGAGGCTGACGGCTGCACGAAGGCCGCGAGCGACCAGATTATCAAGAATCTCCAACGCGAGAACGCCCTCATCGCCACGGCTTGGTATGACCTTACTAGTCGGATCCAGAGCAACCACGTCGTGCTGCAGAGACGCAATGAGGCGCCCAAGAGTTGGTTGGGCAAGCAGAGGCAGATGGTTAACGGTACGTACCTTCTCTTACGCCTCTTCGCAGATATTTGGGACTGATGAGAGGAAAATGCAGCTACTCCTAGGAAGTGAAGCGCCCTCGCCATCTGCTTGGCGCTGTACTCAGCATCTGTGTAACGTATGACGACTCAAACCCAACCCCCTTTGCATATACCCAACTTCTCATTACAACATTTCCGGCATTTTTTCCCCAGCCTATTTTCACCTGACCATCCTTTGGATGGGAAAAACCAGTGATGCTGGCCTTTCCCCATCTTCTTCCCTCTACCCTTCTTCATTCCTGTCCTAAATCTTGTTCTAGGCGAGAAACAAGAGGAATAGACAGTCTTTTAGCTGGCCTGCATTCTGGAAGTAGTAAAACATTGCATTGCACTGCGTGGCAGCTTGTGTCGGTCTTATTGCGGTCTTCTTCTTCGCGGGTTCTTCTTGGTCTCCTTTTGTGGCCATTATTATTCTCCTTACTTTCTTACACGCCGTATTGCCTCATCTGTTTGTCTTTACTACCCAACTTGATAGCGTCCGGGAGGTTTGCAAGCCTTACTTGGGTTATAGAATAAATTCAGCATCAACATATTCTTCGGTTCTTCGGGTCATTTAATCTCATGGGCCTCGCGAACCCTTTTGGGTGCCGCAGCAGACTAGTTAACGTCACGGGCCTAATCTGGATAGACGCATCAGTTACCGGCGACCGTTGAAGGCAACCGAAGATCCCCGGGTGAGCGATGACTAAGTCATGGGGGCCGGCGTGGTGTCGGGAAGGGGTGGGGGTAGCGCCGGCCCCACTATTTTCGCCTCACAAGCACCGACGAAGACCGATTTCGGCCAGAGTGTCTTTACGCGTACCAGCCCATTCACAACGCGCTGCCACGGATATTTGCACGTACAAAACAGAAAAAGAACCCCAAAGTAGAAAGTGATTGGCCATCCAACTGTAACCCGTCGGTTTTGATAATTAGTGAGACAGACAGTAAAGCTATGTTTTTACATACAAGCGTGCAAGAGGGGGTTTCTACACGATACAACTGGTCCTTGACCGGGTTTGGTGGGGGAGAGAATACGAGAAGTGGCCACGTCGAACGCCTAAAATGAAGCCAGCTCTGCTTCGATTCAAGCAGCAGGGACGGAGAGTGACGAGGATGAGTCCCTTTCCAGTCCGTTTCATGATCCATAAAAAAATTTCCATAAGAGTTCCTCCGATCCACGTCTTTCTTTTTCCGGCCGTGGATTCCGAAAGCGATGATGCATCACAAGGGAGGCCAAAAAACAGAACATTGCGAATCAACCCATCTCGTCTCTTCGTAGTAGTTGCGTGCTGGGCGGCGACAACCGAGCGGCGGCGTCGCGCGCAAGGGATCAGGCGAGGCTTGAGGATCCCGCGCTCGTCTAGTTCTTTCCAGTAACGCGGCTGAGAATGCCGGAGGCGTGGCCGCCCTTGCGCTGGGACTCGAAGATATCAAGCATGTTCTTCCAGACCTGACCGGGCTCTTGCGACGCGTCGATACCCTTCCAGATGCCGGTCTGCTTGTAGTAACCAACAACGGGGGCGGTCTGGGAGTGGTACGTGGCCAGACGCTTCTTGAGGGCCTCGGCGTTGTCGTCGCTGCGCTGGATGAGGGGCTCGCCGGTAATGTCGTCCTTCATGTAGTTCTTGGGAGGGTTGAAGGTGCTGTGGTAGCTACGTCCGCTGGCAGGGTGGACCAGGCGGCCAGTGATGCGGGCGACGAGCAAAGAGTCGTCGATCTGCAGCTCGACGGCGTGCTGGAGCTTCTGGTTGCGCGCCTTGAGCATGGCGTCGAGACCCTCGGCCTGGGGGACGGTGCGGGGGAAACCGTCGAGGATGAAACTGTGGTTGTGATGATTAGCAAACGCCCTTCATCCGTGGGGTATCCGGAAGCCCTCGGATTGTCCGTCCGGCTCGGAGATGAGATAATGATGCGCCATACCCTCCCTTGCACTCCTTGTTGTTCTCCAACTCCTCCTTGATCATGCCAATGACGATGTCATCGCTGACGAGACCGCCTTGGTCCATGATCTTTTTGGCTTCCCGGCCGAGCGGAGTCTTCTTGGCGACTTGGGATCGCAGCATGTCGCCAGTGGCCTGGTGGTGATCCACGGTCAGAAAAACGGTCTGGAGCGCGACAGCAAGCAAGACTAGGCCAATTGACTTACCAAATGGCAGCAGTTGAACTTCTCCTTAATCTTGGGAGCTTGGGTGCCCTTGCCTAGGTGGGAACATCAGCACCAGCATCTTCATCACGGCGACGCAACGGCACGTGAAAAAAGGCACTCAATGGGAGCTGCTTACCGGCACCGGGGGGGCCAATGAGAATCATGCGAACCTCCTCGGCGGTGGGCTTGCCAGAACCACCGGCGGCGCGGTCCTCCAGAGACTTGATTCTGGACTCGAGGCTCTCGACCGTGCTGGTCAGCTTCTTGACTGCTTCTTCAATGAGGCTGCTCATTTTGACGGATTGTGAAGGAGTTGGTTATGGCCGGACCGAGGCTAACGGGAAGGGGAGGGGCGAAGAGATGCAGGAAGCAGGGGGAAAAAGGAAGCAGAGGGGAGAGGAGGGAGTTCCAAAGTCGAGATTAAGAGGGTGGAAAGACTGGGGGAGCAAGTGCGAACTAAAGCCTTGCGGGAAAAATAATTGCGAAAGAGGTTGGAAATCGTTGCAAGGTCCTGGCAGGCCAAGTCGCCCAGGTTCCGTCTCCAGTTGTGCCAGGTACCACGTACCCGAGCTTTGCGCTTGTTGCTTTCACCTACCCGACTCCCAGTCAGTGTCTGCTTGTCTGCAGAAGTGGCCCTGTTGAGTGCAGGTGACAGGCCACCGAGAGGCCCCGGTGCCATCATGGGCCCTGGTGATTGGACAGATGTGGGCGCTGGGGGGACCGCTGGACTTTTTCCTGCTGGGGAACAATGTGGCAGGCGTTCGTTCGGCTGTTTCGCAGCGTAACAGCGCGGCCTTGGTGCCACTGGTCGCGGCTTCCGTTGCAGCGCTCGCGGCGTCATTGGTTGGCGCCCGCCGTTTCCTCCCCGCCGAGGTCCAGCGCGGATACGTACCGTCTATCCGTACTTCAGTGGATTGTGCCGCGAGTACCTAGGTACCTAGGCAGCTTCAGGATAAAGAACAGCATTAGAGGCTCTTCAAAGATGCCCCCGGCGCGCACCGGATAGTACGCCTTCTTGGGATGAGGTCACTGGGTCAGGCCTTTTGTGGTTGGCTTCCACCACCCACTACAATTCGGGGTGCTTTTGGTGCCATTCGGGGCGACATGTGAGTCTCTTAGGGTGGTCCCAGTCACCCGCAATCCTCCGAACACCTCAATGGCTTCGTGTTCGGCTAACACTTGTCAGTTGTTCCAGACGGAAGTAAGGTTCGGCGTCAACTCTGGTGGCTCCTTGCTCAGTCGTGCCAGGTCCTCCAACTGGCAGCCTTGGGCGCCTCTTCAGTGCACCTATGCCTAGTACTAGTACTCAACGATGACTAAGGGTTCGAGAATCTCTTGCACTCTATGCCGCTGTGGCGCAATGTCAGATGTGGCTGGTGAATTTGTCCTGCTTTCGGAGGGAATTCGTATTGTGGCTCTGCTATGCTGACTTATCTTATAAGAGCACCACGTGATCTTACGAGGCTCGAGCTTTGCTTGCACCTAAGCTCGATTCGTAGCTAAGCTGGGCGGAAGGCAGCCTTAGCAGTTACGACACCACCACCACCATAACCTTGCAACACCACTACAAACCAAACCCACCGCCCTCTCGCCGACCCTCCTCCATCTCTTCACGAACCCGAACTCAATCGACCCCCCGAAGCTACGAAAACACCCATATCATGCCTGCCACCACAGCAGAGACTCTGTCTCTCGTCCAGCGGAATGTCTCCGTTGCCCCTCTCGTGCTTCTTTCCGTTGTCGACCACTACAACCGTGCAGTAGTCAAGGGATCCAAACGGAGAGTGGTGGGCGTCCTCCTGGGTTCAAATGACGGCAACAACGTCCGGGTATCCAACAGTTTCGCGGGTATGCGCGCTTGCCGGTTTGGGAACAATCAGACTGTCTCTACGAGGCTAATCGACTCTTACAGTGCCCTTCGAGGAGGATGACAAGGACCCCTCAGTATGGTTCTTGGACCACAACTATGTCGAGGGAATGAACGACATGTTCAAGAAGGTCAACGCAAGGGAAAAGCTGATCGGCTGGTACCACTCCGGCCCCAAGCTGCGGGCGTCCGATCTTGAGATCAACGAGCTGTTTAAGCGCTACAACCCCAACCCTCTCCTAGTCATTATCGACGTCCAGCCAAAGGAGGCGGGTGTACCGACGGATGCATACTTCGCTGTGGAGGAGATCAAGGATGTGAGTTCTATATTGTTGCGCAACCAGAGTCTTGGGCTGACCATGATAACTGCAGGATGGCACCACCACGTCACGAACCTTCGTCCATACCCCGTCGATCATCGAGGCAGAGGAGGCAGAGGAAATTGGTGTCGAGCATCTTCTCCGCGACATTCGCGACGTTGCAGTCGGAACCCTTTCGACGAGAATAACAAACCAGCTTCAGTCCCTCCAGGGACTGCACCTCCGTCTCCGTGATATTGGCGCGTACCTCCAGAAGGTCCTCGAGGGCCAGTTGCCCGTCAACCACGCCATCCTGGGCAACCTTCAGGACGTTTTCAACCTTTTGCCCAACCTTTCTACGCCAAAGGGCGATGGAAAATCGAGCGGCGGCGAGCTCTCCCACGCCATGAGCATCAAGACCAATGACCAGCTCATGGCCATCTACCTGAGCAGTCTGATCCGCGCCATTACAGCCTTCCACGACCTTATTGAGAACAAGATTCAGAACCGGCAACAGGCAGAAGAGAAGGAGGCCAAGAAGGATGAGGCGAACGGCAAGGACGAGAAGAAGGATGAGAAGGCGAACGGTGTCAACAACGAGAACAAGGAGACCTCTGACAAGGACAAGGAGGCCAAGGAGAAGAAGAAATAGAAGACTATGTGACGTAGCGCATTGGGGGAACACACAACACTCACGCGGAAACCAATACCCGCGATAGACATTAGGGCATGGGCATGTCATAATATCTCGGCGTCCAGGAGGCCAGGCCAGGGGGGATGGACATATTCGCAAGAAAAGAGTATGCCTTGTACAATGACAGTATGTTTTGGCTGATGATACTGAGCTGTTATCCCTTTTTCGTTGCTCTTGTGATCACGCTAAGTCTCGGCAACCAACCCCGCCATCTCCTCCCTACTAACTCTCTTCTCCGTGACATATTTTCCCAGCACACCCCCCCACTGCTCAGATAGCAGACAAGCAAGCAAGTGCTTGCAGCACGGTACGTCGCCGCTATTTATCCCATCCAGACTTAGCCCTCCAAACTGCCAGCCACCCATTCCACCCTCATCGGAGTCATCGTCCACATCGGCGCCCTTAATCTCATCCTCGAGGACCTCTCCCGCTGTAGCAGCGCTAGCAGGAAACGCTTCGAAGGCAAAGTTGGCGCACGTGCAATTCCAGGCGTCGAGCCGGACGAGGTACGTCGTTGAAGCCGAAGCCGGCGTCGCAACCGCGTAGCTTCGGCGGGTCATTGTTGAAGCCACGGAGCGGACGAGGTGAAATGCCGCCGAAGACGATCGGAGCACCTTTTCGGGATGCGGAGAGTTTTGAGAAGGGAGGGGTGGTGAGGACCCTTGTGTATCGGCGGCGCCGGCGTCGTGGGCGGGTGCGGGGTCGGCGGGGTCATCCCCCTCGCGCCCGCCCGCGCTGTGCGAAGCCGATTCCGGCACCACGCGCGTGACGAGGTTGCGGTCCAGTAGGTCCAGCGCTGGGAGCACTAGTGATGGAAAGAGGACGTGGAGGGTGACGAGGAGTGAGCGGTGGGACTGCGGCAGCGACCAGAGCGGGTTTTGCGCGCCGTCTGTTGTGGCTGTGTTTGGCGACGATGGCGGAAGAGAGGCCGATGTGAGGGAGTTGATGAGGTTTGTGATGATGACTCGGGGCGTGGGGAGACAAGCTGGGGGCGGTGGTGTTTGTGATAATGACATCCTGATCGTCCTGGCGGTTTGCTCAATGGTTTGTAGGTAGTGTGTAACGAGGAGGTTGGTTTGAAGTTCATGCGCGTGGGGTCGATGGAATCGACTACGAGCTTATGGTAATGACTGGACTCGGATGTACCTCGATGAGACGACGTCCTATCCTGTACTTTTTGTTGCCGGCTATTAGAAGTTTGGAGGAGATTCCAAAAGACATTTGTCAATGAAGCCTCATCCTTGAACTGGTTCACGAGATAATGGTCATGCCTCGAGTCTCAACAGAGCATCTTCAGTGCACAAATCGACTAAGCTAAAATAAAACAAAGGGTGAATAGGAAGAAAGAAAGGGGGGGCTCTTTGTGAGTTTTGCCACCTCAAGGCTTTTGTCTAATCGCATTATGTTCGCCGCAAAAAGGGCATCATAGTACAGCCAATATCGCTCGATCCGCTGCTACATATCAGGTATTCCCCTGGCCCTATTGTCTGGGTTCGCTCTATACCCACTCCTTAGGGGCCTTGAGCACATCCACCAGACGCTGCTCTCGGCTCTTGGGCTCAGGCTCGTGCATGTACTTCCAGCTCGCCGTCAGGGGCAAGCTCATCAGTATACTCTCGACCCGTGAGCCAGGAGTATTGAGACCGAAGGCAGTACCGCGGTCGTGGACCAGGTTGAACTCGACATACTTGCCGCGGCGGATCTGCTGCCAGTCCTTCTCCGCCTCGTTGAATGGCATGTCCTTGCGCTTCTCAAGGATGGGGAGGTAGCCCGGCAGGAAAGACTTGAGGCAGTCCTGGATAAAGGCGAAGGTATTCTCGCGGTCTTTCTCGGTCTCATCGAGGTCGTCGAAGAAGATGCCGCCGATGCCGCGGCACTCGCCACGGTGCTTGTTATAGAAGTACTCGTCGCACCACTTCTTGAAGCGCGGGTAGTAGCTCTTGTCGTGCGCGTCACACGTCTCCTTGAGCGTCTTGTGGAAATGCACAGCGTCCTCATCGAACAGGTAGGATGGGGTCAAGTCGCTGCCGCCGCCGAACCACCAGGCCTGCGGGGTGCCGTCAGGGTTCGATGTCTCGAAATAGCGGTAGTTGAGGTGGACAGTCGGGGCCATGGGATTTTTGGGGTGCAGGACCATGCTGAGGCCGGCGGCGAAGAAGGGCAAGGAGTCGACGTTGGCGTCGAGGTTCTTGTGGTTCACGCGCATTTTGGCAATGGCGGGCTTGGGGAGCGTGCCGTAGACAACGGACACACCAACGCCGCCCTTCTCGAAGACGTTGCCATCCTGGAGCACGCAGGTGATGCCGCCGCCACCCTCCTTACGACTCCATTCATCTCTGCGGAACTTTCCCCCATCAACCTTCTCGAGCTCCTTGACGATGATCTGCTGCTGCTCCTTGATGAACTTCTCCATGCGCAAGCGCATGGGTGAGTCGGCGGTGATCTCGGCGTCCTGCTTGGTCAGGGCATCGCGCTCGGCCAGGGTTGGAGGGTCGAGTTGGAACGGTTCCTGGACAGCCTTGATCGGGCAAGAGTTGTTAGCATTCTGAAAAGCTTAGCGGGGATGCAAGTATGCTAGCGAGGGCGCTGGCATCGGTAAGTAGGAACTGCAGTACCATCTTGTAGGCGAGAGGTGCTGCAGCGGCAAGGCCAATTGCTCCAATGAGAAATGCGCCGGACGAGTGGCTCTTGAATTGAGACGTTGAGGAGGATGAGACGAGTCTGCGACCCAATTGCAGCTGCTGCTGGTTGGTGATGGCGATCCTGGTCCGGGAGCTGCTGAGTTGTGCGAGCAATCTGTGCGTACGCCTTGAGAAAGACATGGTGGGCAATTGATATAAGTACTAACTATAAAGGAACAATAAAGGGCAAAATGAGTGACTTGGTTAGTAGCCAGAAAATCGGACGATCCTTCTCATGCGAGAAGCATAAGACCACTAGGAGGCAGGCAGTCGTGGACTGACTAGATGTCGTTCGAGCCAGTCAGGCCAGCTGTAAAAGTAAATTCCGAAATCGTTCCACGTTCAATGGGCGGAGCCCCCTGCCGCGGAAGCGGCGGGTGCAGAGCTAGACCGTCCGGTTGGGAGGTGGGGGCGAGTCGTGCATTGCCGCCGAACGCCGGAGACGCTGTGTTGCCATGCCCCTGTACCTGTGGTCGCTGTTGTGCCTGAAGTGCGGCCCCAGAATCTGTACTTTGTCTTTGCTCGCCCAGCCCTGTAATGCCACTCACCTCTTCATACTACCTAGGAAGGTACGGTGGTGTGAATACCAGAACAATAGATCTTTGAAACAATATAAATGACGGAAAAGGAGGTCGAATGAACCACATGGCGATCCTTGACCAGCTTCTCTGACCAGTTGCATGCATACTTGGCCTTGCCACTCTTCCGGGCAAAGTAACCTCCACAGCTCCTCGTTAGTGACCAAAGCCCTATCGTCAAATTATTTTTGTTCCAACTACTCATCTTGTCTGCTCTGCAATGTTTTCAGTGCCTTTTTACCTCGTATCTAGGTTTTAACAAGACCATGGGTAGAACAGAGTCTGTATCCGGGATCTTGGGTCAATCTTACATTCACCCTCAAAGTACAGGTATCCCAAGGACGGTTATCGAAGGCCCAGAATGGAGCACCTTATGTAAGCTGGGTCGATTAGGCCACTGAGTCCCCGTGGTCAATCAATGTCACACACTATACTCCCCGAGTGTCCATCAGGATTACCCACCTCTTACAGGTGATAAATGACGTCAAGGCGAGGATGGCGGATAAGGCATTGTAGCATCTCGACCAGAGCTGACAATGCACATCAAGCAGTTTAACAATCTTCTGAAGCACAGACAAAAGCGATTGCGTGCACGTATCAGGAGGTTGCATGCCTCGTGATCCCGTGAGTCTCTTCAGCAATTTCAGTTGAGAAATGCAGCGCAAAGAGCCAGTGTGCCAGGGCCTCCTGTGACTCAAGGCCGGAGCCAGAAGGCGTGACAGACTGCCAGGCTGTGTCAAGTGGCTGCGTCGTTGGTCACCTGCGCCTGCACCGGCCTGGTTGGGCTAGCTGGGATGATATCGGTGTCTTGCCCCGCTCCGATAATCCGATAAGGATAAGGTCGGCAAGTGAGGTTGAGGATAAGGAGGGGAAGGGGAAGAGAGAGGAGGGGGCGGACATGGGATTCCGCACTATGACCGGCTTAGTCATGTTGTCGCCTCAGTTCCGGCAAAGTACTCTCCCAGCCGCAGCGCACCGTGAGGTACCTACCTAGCTTCCTGGCCTTTCTGGGTACGCAAGCCAGCCAACCACCCGCCTGCCTGGCGCGCCTGAGCCACCCAGACACACCTTCAGTCAGTGACCGCCCATTCCCCGTCCCCGTGTCCGACCCCAAGGCACCCCAAAGCAGGCGGCAACCTATCCGTCCTTCTTCTGCCTTCGCAAACGAGCCCCTCGTCATCTAAACTCTCCCTTCTACATACTCCGGCACAAGGAATCACCACTGTCGACGGACATCTCGCCATCTATATCTTGACCGTCACCCAACTCCGACCATCTACAGAACCACAACCCGCTTTCCCATCGTCCACTCACAAACCGTCATCATGCGATCCAAGTTCAAGGACGAGCACCCCTTCGAGAAGCGCAAGGCCGAGGCTGAGCGCATCCGCCAGAAGTACTCTGACCGTATTCCTGTATGCCTACTTGCTTTCCTATCTGTGCCTCGTTTATCTCGTCGTGGTTCGTTGGGAGCTTCACCGTCTGGTGGCTGTCGCTGCGCTGCATTCGTCAGCTTCGCGCCTTATCGGCGGCGCCCCACGTTCCCCGACCGTCACCGCCGGTCTCCATATCTATCATCAAGGGCCTGAAGCTAACCAAGTTTCTCACATTACAGGTTATCTGCGAGAAGGTCGAGAAGTCTGACATCGCTACTATCGACAAGAAGAAGTATCTCGTCCCCGCGGACTTGACGGTCGGTCAGTTCGTCTACGTCATCCGCAAGCGCATTAAGCTCTCCCCGGAGAAGGCCATCTTCATCTTCGTCGATGAGGTATTGCCGCCTACCGCTGCTCTGATGAGCAGCATCTACGAGGAGCACAAGGACGAGGACGGGTATGTTACCAAGCTTCTCAATGTCCTTCCGATTCGGTTGTGCTAACATTCTCCCTTTCAGTTTCCTCTACATTACCTACTCCGGCGAGAACACGTTCGGCGGCTTCGAGATGGCTTAAGCTTCCCAACCTTCTGATGGTCTAGTATCAGAATGTTCACGGCGTTTCGGTCTGCTATGCACGGTTTAGCACTTTTGGAATGGGTTTTCACACGGATATCGGTTTCCCTCCGAAGCAGGGGTTTATGACGAAGAAACGCAGTCACGTTATCGCGCGGGATCACAGGACAGGGTCAGGCGCGGCCCTTGACCGATCACGGAAGAAACTCCCGCGCGGCTTGGGAACTCACCGAGACATGTAGGCTTGCGAGAACGTTGCATGGAAATTAGCTTCGTGGGTTTTAAAGTGGTTTCCTTAGATCGCATGTTCAATCGCCTTCTCCACATCTCTTTCTTACCCTCCCTTTCCTCCCATCCGCTGTGGTGACCTTGGCATGTCGTATAGCATACCATCCATTAGCACATCATCTACGCCTACCTCGACCGATTTCTCGCATCTTATGAGTGCTGTCCATCATGTCACTTTGAAACCCATTGATTCCTCAAAAGATCGAAGCCACAGTATTATGTGTGACGGCAGATGGTCTAGGTCACGGAGTGAAGCGACCCAAAACGTGCGGAGACGGCCCCTGAATGATGGTCAGAGAGCCAATCCCAAAGCTCGACCACTACGGCGGCGGAAAAGTCGAGCCCTCCGAGACCCCGACCGCGAGAGGTTCAGTTCGCCCCGGCATCATGCATGAGGCTGTTGGGACTGCATCAGTGGGCCGAGCTTGAATGCTCGGGCGAACAGATGGCACGTCTGAGAGTGAGATGACACGGGCGGACATCGGACTGCATAACAGATCGAATCATGTATTGGCTTTCTTCTCTGCAAGACGAATTGGACCAGTATTGATTTTGCGCCTCCGTGGGTGAACTTCATTTCTCTACCCGCCACTGGTCCCCGAAGATTTCGCATTACATTGCTTTTATCAGGGGGACCAGGCGCCCAGAAGTCGTGGGGACAGCCGACGCGGGAACGCGGCGTCGTCGGTGACCGAGCATTTGTTGCATCGCGCTGAAGCCGACGTTGAAGCACACGCTGCCGTCAAAGTGGGCGTTGCCCTACGGCACGACGGCTATGTCGTCACGGAAGCTGGTGGTGAAGAGCCCGGGGATGTCGGCGCCCCGTGTGTACATGCGTTGGACGAGGGCCATGATGGTGGATTTCCAGGCGTCCGAGGGCCCGACGAGGCCGCAGAACTGGCCTGCCTGGATGGCGAGGAATATGTTGTCGAGAATCAAGACCTCCGGGGAGAGTGGGGTAGGAGAACGATACGCCCATCAAAGAAACAGACACGCCGCCTCGGCCCGGGGAGGGGTGGGGCTTGGACTCGGTGAGGGTCTCAAGGTCCCTCCCTGTCCTTGTCCCCGGACGGACCTCTGTTCTCCTTGCCGCTCTCGGACTTATCGAGGTCTAAAAGGTTGAAGATCTGGGAGGTCGCCATCCTGGGGTTCTTCCGCCGCAGACTGCTGTTTGTTTTCCTTACTCTTCTTGGATGTCGAAGGTTTCTAGGATTCATTATCATCTGTCCGCCTTGGTGGCCTGGGCGAGATCCACTGGGTCACCACCATGCTTCTCGATGCTGATTGAGGGGGCTGAGGACTCGGCGGCGGTGCTGGTGCGAGAGGGTAGCTCACCCTCTTTGACGACGTGGATGTCTCGCAAGTTCACCAGATTGGCGTTAGTTCCGTTACGTACGATCAGGTCAGCATGAGTTCCTTCCTTGATGAAGTCCACGGCGTTCATGGGAATGATGCTGTCTGCTCTTATGATCGTGGAGAGTCAATACGCAAAAGAGATTAAGGTTATGTCCTTGGGACACTCCCGATAGCCATCTGGATCCGTTATTATCTGATAGAGTCCAACGAGGCAATGACCTCGTCAAGGATAAGAATCTTGGGGTTACGGATGAGAGCTCGCCACAGAGTAACGCGCTGCTTCTGCCCGCCGCTGACGAACTTGTCGCCGTCGCCGACAGCCTGTTTGAGTCCATGTTTGGGACGGGCGAGAAGGGATGGCTTCTGCCGGACGAGGGTGGCGTAACCGCGAACGTTTTTCACGTTCAGGGTACGGATATCGTGGCTATCAACGAGGATAGTGCCTTCTTTGGAATAAGCAATTCTTGTTGCAGGCCGGCAATCGTCGATTTATCATTTCCGGAGAGGCCAACCATAGCGGCGTACTTTCCACAAGGGCACATGAGAGACGTTCTTGAGCACATCTACGTCGGGCCAAGATGTGTAGGCCAAGGCCACGCCGCGCGGCTTAACCACTCGAAGCGATGCTTCAGGGTATATCTTTACTCTTTGGCCACGGAGTCGATATTGGATTGCGAATCGATATCGGCTCGAAGCTTGTGGGATGCAGTAGACGCCGAGCCGAATAGAGGCAATAGGGGTACAATTTTGCCAAACATGACACAAGCTAGGAGCGATTAGCACAGGTGCGCAGCCTTCACAGCCTTTGTGAACATACTATCAATGATGAGGAATATAACCGTATGCATATCGCCTACAGAAGTGCCATTATCCGTTCCGGCTACAGAGGCTGCGATGGCTGTGCTACCTTGCCAGTGCGCGAGGGTGTTTGCGGAGTAGGCAATGAAGTACAACAATCCGGGCTGGGAAACAGTAGCGGCGTCTTCCTTGGTACCCTCTTTCCAGGCTATCGTTACGTGCTACGAGAATTCCAACTCCAAGCGGGGCCTTGCACTCAAGGCCTGAACCACAGCAACATGGGATAGAGTCTCCAATATAATTGACGAAGCCTTCGCCGTGTCATCAGATATAGTCCCTGTCTATTCTGGACATAACCGCCACAGGCGATGGACGCAATCAAGCACGCGGGGGGGGATGGGCCAAACAAGCATGTCTGCCAACGACACATACCTGATAAAACCGATGGCAGGCTGTGACGAGAAATGAGGTTATGAAGCCGACGTACCAGAGCCTGAGCAATTCATTGGCTTCAGCGTCCTGGTAGGCGCCCGCGTCACTAACACCCTCGGAGCATGTCGCGCCATTCATGTTGTCAAAGAGAACTCTCATGATGGGGAAGGGCGCGCCGGCCGCCGCGGCAGCGATGCTGCCCAAAACAGAGAGTCTGACGTCAACTCACGTTGTTTCGGCGTAGAACGACAGGTTAAAAAATGGTGAAGAAGGCCTGGAATCGCTGGATAGACGGTCAGCTTTCGCAAGTGATGATTGGTCAAGAAGGGGCTAAAATTGGGTTTCACGATGCCCGTCGTCTGTTGCTGCTCTGGCACTTCCGAGACATCCTTTTAGGGGCCTGGTCGGCCGAAATCGCTCTTGGATCTTGGTCGGGCATAATGACAGACACTCTGATCCGGAAGGAGTTGCCGTGTTTCGGTTGCAGTCAGCCAGTCAAGGAAAGGAACACTTGTCGACATCTCGTCATGTGCGCAGTACTCATTACAACCCGGAGAGATAGTGGGAGGCTCATTTCAGGTAGTCAAGATGACGGAGGCTGAGCTTGCGGGTTCGGATCAGATAATTTGTCTTGGCGGAGCTGGGGGGAGGGGGGGTGGGGGTGGGGGGAGGGGGGGCGTGCTCCTTCCGCATTTAGTAAGGCTCGTTCTCTCTACTAGAGCGGGTACGAAAGGTACGGAATCCTTGTTCCTTTTCCTGTGGATCTGCACGAACTTGTTATTCACACTTCGTCACTCTTTTCTCCGTATACTCCACGTACTTGTACACCCGGGTCGCAAATTTCAGTCAAACGGCGCGACGGCAACTGCTGGAGAAAATGGCGCATTCCTGGATGCTGCCCCTCCAGCGCCCACACGCCGGGTCGCCCACTCATACACCCACTTCGTGTCGAATTTGTCAAAGAAACCGACCAACTCTGGGTAGTGTACATGAGGTGTCACAATAAGGAGCCAGGTCCCGGCCACTGATGGGCGACGTGAGCTTCAACGGCCGATCCATCATCCAGTCCAGCTCAGCTCGGAGACGGGACGCAAAGGAGCCCGAGACAGATAAGATCGAATCCTTCAGACCCGACGAACGCGAACTTTTTTCTACTTGTCCGTATCAGGCAATGGCTTGATCCTAGCGAGACAGTACCTGAAGAACCCCGAGCTAGGGGAGTGGCTTGCATGGCTCTGGACGGATCTGATAACTCTAAGTCCTCCACCATCTAATAATTCTCACCGGGACAGCCCCTCCACATTAGTAGTGAACAGATATTCGAGCAAACCGCCCTGCCGTCTCGGCTGCAGTGTGTCTCATTCTCCGAGCCAGCCCTCGGCTGAATCTGCCCCTGTCGTTGCCGTCGTCGTTGCCCTCCTTTCTGTCTGTTGCCAAGTACCTGGGGGGTGAGCCTGGATCCCTGCTTGGCCAGTCTCTCCGTTGCTCGCGCAGAGCGATCCATCCCGTTCTGATGCAGGCCCTCCGCTCGGCCTCCGACGGGCTCCATCTTTATGTCTACTGGCGACTGCGCAAATGTTCCCCGCCGCATCTGCATTCTCACACGCTTCGTCCGCTTCTTCTTGCCTTCGTCTCCCTAACCGGTCACTAGCAGCGCCCAGCAGCTTCAACCGGTGCTTCTTCTTCTTCGTCTTCTTCCTCTTCCTCTTCTGATTAGCCCCCTCCCTTAGACGCAAACCCTTCCCGTTCCAACCAAGAACAGCCCAGAAAAGGCAGACAAAGACAAGATGGGCTCTCTTCCCGGCGCTATCCCACCCGTCAGGGTCTTTATTGTCGGAATTTCATATGGCGGCGTCTCTGCGGCGTTGAACCTGCTTGACCTGAGCAGCGGCAAGCCTCCTCGTCTCGCTTACACCCCCTACGAGCACCACCCGGACTTCAAGAGCATCCCTCTCGACATCACCTTCGCCGACGAGCGCGATGGATACTGTAAGGCGACCGCAGCCCAGCTTTGGTTCAACCAGAACAGACCCGCTGACCATACGAACCCAAAGTCCACATAATCGGCACGCCGCTCGCCTTCGCCGACGCCAAATACGCGGCAAAGTCCTGGGTCAAGTTTGACGACATCGCCGCGCTGAAGCGGCCCAACGTGCGCTTCGTCCAAGGCTCTGTCTCCAAGGTCGACACGGCCACCAAGACGGCCACCGTTCTCGACCACGCCACCCAGCAACCCCGGGATTTCTCGTACGACTTCCTCATCGCCGCCTCGGGCCTGCGCCGCGCCTTCCCCGTCGTGCCCAAGTCCCTGACGCGGAAACAGTTCCTCCTCGAGGCCGAGGAGCAAATCCGCTCAGTCCAGGACGCCCCTGACGGCGTCGTTGTCGTTGGCGGTGGCGCCGTTGGCATCGAGATGGCTGCCGAGCTCAAGCTGTCGGAGCCACGGACCAAGGTCACCCTCGTCCACTCTCGCGACAAGCTCCTCTCCTCCGAGGACCTGCCGGACGATTGCAAGGACAAGGCGCTCGAGCTCACCCGCGAGGCCGGCGTCGAGGTCCTCATGAGCCACCGCGTTAAGGAGACGCGCAGGCTCGACGCCGCCGCCGACAACGGCCGCGCGCGCTACGAGATCGAGTTCACCAACGGCGCCAGGCTCCTCGCGTCCCAGGTCATCACGGCCATCTCGCGCAGCGTCCCGTCGACGGACTACCTCCCCTCCGCAGCCAAGGACGCGGAAGGGTACGTCAAGGTGCACCCGAACTTGGTGCTGTCGGGCGACGTGCCCAACGCGCAGGACCATCTCGCCGTCGGCGATATTGCGCTCTGGTCGGGCATCAAGCGCTGTGGCACGGCGATGCACATGGGCCACTACGCCGCCATCAACGCGCACCAGCTCATGCTGGCCAAGCTGACAGGCCAAACCCACAAGCCCACGTTTTCGGAGCTTGACCACATCGAGCCCATGATCGGCCTGGCGATTGGCAAGAAGGCCGTTGCCAGCGGGCCCGGGGTGGGCACCACGTGGGGTGAGGATGTCATGCAGGCCTACTTCAAGGACGACCTCGGCTTCGACAGTGAGTTGAACCTTTTCATCGTCCCCTCGACACGCTCCCCATTGATTGATTGCTTGCTAACCGGGTTATGCCGCGCAGACTGCTGGAACCACCTGAAGCTGGGACAGGCTCCCGAATCTTGATTTATCCATGCATCTACGAAAGATTGAAGAAAACAAAAACGGCGCCCTCTTTCTGCGAATTCTGGTCTATTTTTCTCCTGCATAAGGATTGGGTTCTTTTGGGGTAACGGTGTTCTTCGGAGGAATGACGGCGGGACGAATAGCTTGCTTGTCTGGCAATTCATGTACAGAATTAGCTAGGCTTTGAATACTTACACGATGATGTTTCCACGAAGAATAGGCCCGCGTACATGCTGTCCAGACCGGAGTTACGCAGGCGAGGTTTCTCCCTGGCACTCTACGAGTAAATCACACACAATCAAGATCGACAAGGTGGTCCGTTTCAAAGCTTAACGAGATTTTACGCCGAATTGACACCACAAGCCCGTCCGTACTTTTCGCACGTATTCATTCATTCATCCATGTATGTACATGCATTCCACCCAAATTCCGACCATGCGGGTTAAAACCTGCTCACTTACACCCCCAACCACATCCGCGTCACTCGTTGTACACGCTGCGCTCACAGCTTGGGCACTAGCTGGATGCGCATGCCGCCGACGACTTTCTCGTTGTCTCCGAGCGGGCACAGCTGGAAGAAGCGCTCGCGCGAGCACCGCACGAAGGCGCTGCGCTTGTGCGGCAGGTCGACGAACTTGTCGAGGCCGAAGCCGTGCATGAAGTCGTACATGAGCACCGTGTCGTTGGTCTTCTTGGGCTCGCCGACGACCCAGCTCGTCCGCGGGTCGTCGAGGAAGAGGAAGTGCATCAGCGAGGACCACCAGGCCGTCACGCGGTGCGGGCCGCGGAAGCGCACGTCGCCGACCAGCGAGTGGCGGCCGCGGTCCCAGTCCTGCGCGTCGTAGTAGCCGCCCAGCTTGTCCTCCTGTGAGAACCCCCGGGTGTTAGTGACTGGTCCTACGACTTCTGTTGGGGGGGAGGGAGCGGGAGAGATAGAGGGAGAGAGGGAGCGAACGCACCTTGGCCCAGTAGACCTCAAAGTAGGCAAAGAAGGTATCCTCCCACGCGGCGAGGATGGCGAACTGGTGCGGGTCCTCGTCAATCTTTCGCAGGTACTCGCGGTGCTGGTCGAGCGTGCCCGTCTCGTTCCAGCCCTGCGACACGCGCGGGTCGTTCTGCCACTCGTGGAAGAGGCGCAGGTGGTCCGGGTTCTTGTAGTCGAGCGCGACCATGGAGAAGGTCTCGCGCAGGTGCGGGATCCAGCGGCTGTAGACCGTGGCGCCAGGCGCGGGCTTGGCCGGGCGTATCGGGTGCCAGGCCTGCTGGTAGAGGTTGGGGTTCGCCGGGTCCGAGGCTGGAACGGCCGTCATGGTGTGCTGAAGCGGCGTGATGGGATAGGAGGACAGAGGGCGCTCGAGGCTGGCGGGGGACCCGGAAGGGAGCCAGACGGGACGGGGGCCGAAGGGGGAGCCGGCGCCCTGCCAGAAGGCGGAGCGGAGGAGGACGACTGTGGTCAGCTTTGCCGTGGAGGCGGGCTTCTGCGTCTCATTCTGTACAGGGTGCTCGATGGCGAGCATGACGTCGCGTAGCCGCTGGCCAAGGGTGTCGGCGCCTGCACCCCGGAGCTCGAGGCGGACGAGCTCCTCGGCAGGGCGCAGGACGAAGAGGACGTAGACGAGAAGCCATGCCTGGGCGAGTGTGGGCGTCGTCTTACCGTCCCAGGAGAAGACTGTGCTCGGTGAGCGGCGGGCACGAGCCCACGCGCTGTTGTTGGAGTCGGCAGGGAGCTCGCTGGACTTGAGGTCCGCGGGCTCTGTGAAGTAGAGGTTTTCACTGTGAAGACGCTCGGGGAGGGCGGCCTGCCTGGTGCCCTTGGTGGGGGCGAGGGGGACGAGATGGTAGAAGTGAAGACCGCCCTCGGAGGTCTTGCCAGCAAAGGTGTCGTGGTTGAAGGCGCGTTGAACCGCGTACTCGGTGTGGTACGGGTGAGGGAGCTTGATGATGCTCTCACTGGAGGAGACGG